ATGCCCAAAATGGGCCCCAGGGGTGGCCCAGGAGGAGGTAGTAGGCACCTACCATATTGGGATATCCAAAAAGCGCCCAGGTGCGGCCATTTGGTATGCCTGCCCTATTTGGAAGCCTAAAAAGCGCCCAAAGAGCGGTAAACAGGGACCTACAAGCAGCCTAGCCTCATTGACAGGTATTAACAGGGATTGACAGAAGTCAACAGGGAAGCCCAAATGGGCAGGATAAAATTAACAGGCATTGACAGAGGAGGCCCAGTCTATTTTACAATGGGTGGCCTTGGATTATATAATGGTGGCCCACCTGATAGACATTAAAAAAAGGTGATCACCAAATACACAATGCTAGTACCACGTTGGTGGGCTATTATATTATAAAACTGGCAACCACTGGTGCCAGCATATGACTAGTATATCTACTTGTTGTCCATATCATTGCCATGTCAGTCATCCTCCTCAATGTCCCAACGCGGTGACTGCTGGCGTGCACGGCGAGGAGGAGGAGACAATGAAGCAGAATGCTCGCCCAATGAAGCAGAACGCTCACCCGACACCAGCGCCTGCCATTCCTCCCTGGAGATCAAACCCTCCCTGTACTCTGCCAGATACTGCTCACGCTCTTTGATCCGTAGATGCGCCCGCTTCTCCTCCCGTTCCTCCTTCATACGGGTCTGCACGAGCTCCATGTTCTTCCTAGTCGGAGTTCAGTTAAATGAACACAATAAGAGGGAAACAACGTACTCGGTAATACTCATAAAGCTGTCTTCCCATGTGCGCTTTTTCGACAGCGGCTTGATTGACGCGCTCGCCTTCTGCATGGCAAGATTGAGCTTGTCCTGCCCGGTGGCTTGGGTCGAAGTCGGTGTCTTGGGCACCGATGCGGAAGCGGGCGGCAAAGACTGCTGAGTCGGGGGAGGCGTAGGCGGTGTGCGAACTTGATTCATATCGACGGAACGAAGTGCAGGGTCAATCACATCGTCTGTGATTACTTGTGCTGCTCCCTGAGAGCCTGACGTCGGTGGTCGGCCCTGAAAATAGACCGTAGACTCGCCCTGTGGGCCAACACCTGTGGTGATTGCAACGGGGAGAACGTTGGGGCGCGTTGACAAGAGGCGATGGAAGCGGGGGAAGAACGGCCAATCCCGCTCAATTTGTTCTGTAATACTGTCAGTTAACAATCAGAAGCATAACATAGGACTTACACCATATATTGCACGCTTCATCCGGGGTGTCAGCATTTGGGCCATCGCATGGGATGCCCGCAATCCACCCAGTGCTATCAGTGCCGGGCTCGTTTTCTTGATTTTCTACAAGTCGGGTTGCCTGGATTCCACCACCTGTGGATGTAGTAGACACGGCATAGCTACAATACATTGCCACAAGCCTACAGATGCAGCAAGCTTAACGGCGCAATTGTGACAATGGGACAACACTTACGATGCAATCTTTGACTTCACACGGTCACCAGCAACTGTGGCATCCAGGGCATACAGATCCGGGACAACCGCAGCCGCTATACTCTTCACAACGGATATCTTATGTTCAGCAGATGAGTTCTGGAGAAGCCGAGTAAGTGGGACAAACTCGGGACCTTTAAAGAGGCTCTATGATGACATACCTGGTCGCCCCTTTTCCCAAATAGAACCTTTCGATTCTCCTCCTTCTCCACCTCAGCCAGAAGTTGCCATGTGAGAAGGTGGTTGCCGGCAGTCCAGTTGATCTTCGGGAGTGTGGTGGGTGCCATCCCGGGCCCAGTAGCAGGTGTAAGCAGATAAAGAGTGATTATGAAGACAAGCGAGCGTTTAAAACAGCAAAACGAGGTGACCCAGCACCCCAGAGAGCGAGAAAATGCAGTAGAAGTAGTCGTATAAACGTAGAGAATATAGTAGAGAGCACGAGAGGCGACGCGACACAACGCGAACGCGGACGCGCGAATAAGCGCCCGTGACATCGCGCGTTCCGCATATGGTAGGAGGTGCGCATTATCTCTGGGAGATAACGCGCTACGGCACCTCCCAGCCACGCGCGCCTCCCAGCTGCGTCAACTTTGAGCGGCCCTATTGGTTGACTTTCCATAAGCCTCTGCGGCTTTGAAGATGTCCGTAAATCCTCGATCACCTCTGATTTAGCCTATGCGCCGAGATGCCGAGGCCGATACAAGCTCCGCTGATGGGACGGAGTCCGTAGATACTGCAAGCGCCAAAAGTCTAGAGAGGGGGTACCGACCCCCTCTCTACATGCCCAGTTCAAGAGGCTATCCGAATGATATCTCGGCGGCCAGTATCCAGCCGGTGTACCCAACATCTGCCGCGCCGTTGTCAGTCGACCATTGCCCGGACATCTGAGCGCAGATGTCCGGTGGCTCTCTGCCCTGCAAATCTCAGGATATCCAGCGCTAGAGACCAGCCCAGTGCTGGCGCTATATTCGGTGGTCATACGGCTGAGCTCGTCGAGACATCCCATCAGCGCCAACGTCCCTTTGGATGTGAAGGTCGAAATGCTATGCACCACCCGTCGGCGCCGCGCAATGGAGGGAGCTGTCGGGCGGCACTTGGGCGGCACTGTACTCTGCCTCTGACCGTCACTTTCCTCCGCACGTCCAGTGTCCACCTGTCACTGTGCCCTCCCTTACTCCTCCAACGTCTTTCTTCTTGCTCACCCTCTGAGGCTGACTTCAGAGGCTGTTCTCGCATTCGAGTGAGTTATCAGCTCATTAATGGCAGCTCATGCCAACAACCTCGTGCATTCGTCATTACAGTGCTCGTACCTCCAGAACACCAAGGTAAGTTCACCCATATATACGAGCTCGTCCCTGCACAACCACTTCCAGGCTATCGCCCTCTGCCCACGCCACTGTCACGTATACTGCCAGTGCATCCCCGCCTCCGTCCAAGCTCGTCCCTCTCCTACTATATGTGCCCATGTAAGACAGTACCTACTGGATGTCAATTGTATAACACATCGTTTATCCCTACTATGCAATGCCTGCAGCCCCGCAATCCAGCAATGAATATTCTGGATTTTCGGCCACTGACTTTCGGTGGGTGCCTATTGTATGGCAGATATCTTGCGTGTCTCGACGAGAGAGCGGGATGGTATCCACGCCACGATCTCACGCGTTAACCGCTGGTCGACATCCGAGAGATATCAAGGCCGGGATATACGACCGTCGTTTCAGCGCAAATACCCGTAGCGAATCTGCCCGATGTCATCAAATATCGCCGCCGTGAGATATCTTGGGATAACTTGTTCCTCCGGGCGTGTAGACCTAAACACGTCCGCAGATGCTCGGCTAACGGGCGTCTACGTCGAGAAACAAAGCTGCCATCACTAAATTTCTGTTCTGAGGCCTCCCATCATTCAGTTCACTCTTCAACATGGCTGATGTCAGCGTTCGCACGCCAGCGCTTGAAAGGCTAGCGCCCAAGATACGAAATGATACCCGACCATTTTGATCTCCGCTATACGAGTCTGCGGCGACCGTAGAGCCGCAGATCCTTATGGAAAGTCAACCATTGGGGCTGGTCGGTATCAGGAAAAACCCCCCTAGCAAATGAGCGCAGTTGAGAGCAAATGAGAGATAAAAGACCATGTATTAGCTGTCTTAGCGCCAGAGTGCTATTTAGATAGGTCCCCACATAATACAGTTCTCATTAGCACTAATGAGTGCTCAAAAGGTACCATTGAGCACCCGGTAAGCTTCCTATATCCCACCAATGATACCAATAATTGCACACGATGACGAGGTTATAAGAGTATTGAATTCAGTATATCACAATACATTAAACAAACTATACAAGTATACATGAGATATAACATCGTGCCTAGACCCCAGCAGCATGGTAGGTCGACAGCGAACACCTGGTCTCAGCATGACAGACGGGCACAGGGCAACCAGCGGGACAGCCGCGGGATGACGGACAGGAGGATGACGGGCAGGAGTGGGCACGGAGTGCACGGGAAGCCACAGGACGAGCACAGGCGCAGAGGACGTGGACAGCTGCAGGTCGGGCCCAGGCGCGGAGGACGCAGCAGCGGGACGGCGATGGACAATGTGGGCAGAGCGGACAGGGCGAGCGGAACGGACGACGTTGATGGCGGTGCGGAGGCCTGTAAAGTAGAAGGAGGTGTCAATAGAATCCGCGGGCACGGACGCGGTGCACTCGAACACAAGCTGGTGTGAGCGCGAAGTGTGCGGGTAACGGCAATGAAAGCGGTCAACTGCGCAGACGGTGACAGCGGGACCGAAGAACACAACGCAGCTTCGACAGCAGTGCCGAGCGGAACCCAGGGACGAGAACATAAACGTGGGATGCAGTGGAAACGGGGAAGCGAGAAGTCTGTACAGGGATCATGGTGATGCGCAGATCGAAGGCCAGGAGAACTAGGGTTCACCAAGGGTATAGCGATCCGTCACGGGTTTGACCCTCGGGTCACACGGGTACGGGTGGGGGTAGCGATATTGTGACCCGCAGGTGATGTCACCCACACCCGAACCCGCACGGTGACCCGCCCAATGACCCGCTTTATCTTGGGCTATACTCAACGCCCGGTCGGGATTTTGATGGAGCGCATGGTGCATCCGCTTATGGTAATTACACCATGTTGTGCAGCTTAGTAATATATCTCGTTGCCAGCGACAGCACAGGCACCACACCCGCACGGACCCGGGCGGCAGTGGTACATAAACAGTTGAATGCAGTATCTCCCCTCAGATTTCCCTTCGCCTCAACAACCCCTCTACCCGCCCTTCTACTCGCTCCAAATCCCTGCTATGGCTGGCCGCAAGCGTACCGCAATGTCCACTGGTGGCACCAAACCGCCGCCGCAGGCCCTGAAGAAACAGCGCACGGGCAAGGCGAAGTCCGTCGCCCTTGTCGCTGATAGCGACGATGGCGACGCGACTGATACCCTTGACTCGACGTCGGCGGGCGCCCGTAAGCAGGCATCGCAGACATCTTCGCAGAAGTCCATTGCATCGACCCGCATCAGAGCTGAAGCGTCCGTGCGCAGCTCAGTCGACGATGATGCCCTCGAGCGCGAGGGTGTTGTTGTCGTTGACGCCGCCAATGCTCGCGCCACGGCATCCGGTGATGGCGAGGACGAGGACGTCATCATGGAGGACGCACGCGCGTCGGCCAAGGACCGTCATGCCGCCGCGCTGGCCGCGAAGAAGTACGCTGTCACTGTTGAAGATGCCAGTGATGACGAGGACGAGGATGAGTCCTCCGAGGCTGAAATAGGTGCGCATTCTTCTTGTAGACCTGTGCCTACAGCTGATCAGCATGTGCAGAACGCCTCAGCACGGACTGGGTCGCTAACGTGTACGGGTTTTATCACCCTGTTCCCGAGATCGCCTACGTTGGCGCACGCTGCTCCCACCTCTTCCACTGCAAGGCCAAGGGGTGTAAGTATGTCTGCTGTCGCTTCCTCGACAAGGGTGACGCTTCTTCGACGAGCAACCTCCGCCGCCATGTGCGCAAGTGCTGGGGCGCCGACATCCTGAAGGCCGCTGATAAGGCCGCAAACATTGCGGAGGTCAACGAGAAGATCGTCGGGAGTCTCCTGAAGGATGGGTCAATCACTTCGACCTTCAAGCGCAAGAAGGGGGTCGTGACCTACTCGCATAGGACGCACACTAGGACGGAGACTCGGTACGTCTTCTGTTCGCTACCATTCGTTCGAGTGCTGATGTACTTGACAATGGTAGCACTGAGATGGTGAAGTGGATCACTGAGAGTGCGCGTCCCTTCTCGGTCGTGCGCGATCGTGGGTTCCAGTCCCTTATGAAGACCGGCAGACCGGGGTACTGGCTGCCGTCGCCGTCAACCATCACCCGCGACATCAAGTTCCTCTTCGGGAAGACCCACGAACGCCTCGCGCAGATCCTGCAGGACTATGAGGGTCGCCTGAGCTTTGCCACGGACGCGTGGACGTCGCCCAACCACCGCGCCTTCGTAGCGGTCACCATACACTTCGTCTACAATGACAACCCCATCAGCCTTTTGCTGGACCTCGTCGAAGTCCCTGAGGTACGTACCGCATTGTTCTGACCGCTACATTGTAATTGATGGAGGACTGTTAGTCCCACACTGGCGAGACACTCGCACACTCCTTCGTCGAGATCCTTGAGGGCTTCGGAATTGAGGACAAGGTCAGTACATTATGTGGTTCAATAGACGTCGGACAACTCACTGGTTGTATCAGGCTCTCGGACTGACGTGCGACAATGCGTCCAACAACGATGTCATGGTGGACCACCTCGGCTATGCACTCCCGGGCTTCGAGGGTAGTGTCGGGCGCGTGCGCTGCTTCGCCCATGTCGTCAACCTCGTCGTAAAGTCTCTGCTGACACAGTTCGACGTACCGAAGGCCGCGCAGACGGCGATCAATGTGCCGGCTGCGGACAGCGAGTTGTACGAGCTCGCTAATGAGCAGACCGACGAGGACGGCGTGGGCGAGGTAGTGTTTGATCCCGAGTCCGGATTTGTCTTGCCGAGTGCTATGGATGGCGAGGCAGATGATACGGAGGGCTGGGTTGACGAGGTTGCGGCCTTGAGCGAGGAGGAGCGTGCCGAGTTCAACGAGAAGGTCCGGCCTGTGCGGATGGTCTTGACCAAGGTGAGTTTCCCTCCTCCACATTGCACTGTGCTTGTAACAGATATTTTGTACGTACAGATTCGCCTGTTTGCCTCTAAGGTTGTGCACTCCAGCACGATCCTGCTCCCTGCCTGGAAGGCCCGTGTGTCTGAGGCCAAGCTGCCGGCGAGGTTGCTTCCTCGTGACGTCCGGACGAGGTGGAATTCGACTTACGATATGTTGACGGCGGCAATCCAGTACCAGAAGGTGATAGATGCAATGTGTGCAGACAAGGAGTTGGGGCTGAGGAAGCTCGAGCTCACGTCGCGCGAGTGGATGATTGCCACGCAGCTCGCGGACGTACTTAAGGTTTGAACCTTATTCTGCGCAGGCTACACGGCGCTGCTGGCACTCTCGCAGCTCGCTGACCACTATCCTCTGCTTGCCTCCCCTACTCAGATCTTCAAGGATGCAACGGCGTTCTTTTCGCGGGGCACTCCTAACCTGGCGACAGTGATACCTGCCATGGACTCCATCAACTCGAAGCTCGCCACCAAGCACCGTGACACCGCGAAGTACGACTACGCCATCCGCACCGCCATGGGTTTCGCGAAGCGAACACTCAACAAGTACTACGAGCTTACGGACACATCGGCCGTGTACCGTATCGCCATGAGTGAGTTATAACACTATTATTGATCCTTTCCTGCCGCTAAACCCGTGTTCACGCACACCCGCAGTCCTCCATCCCAGCTACAAGGTAGCATACTTCAAGAAGGCTGGCTGGGAGCAGGAGTGGATCGACGTCGCCAAGGAGCTCGTGCGGGAGGCTTTCGATAACGATTATCCGGCAAATGCGGACGGAGCTGTGCTCAACGAGGATGAAGGACAGCAGCCGGCGGATCTCCAGGTGCGCATACCTCTGCGTTCACTCGTGCTACTCTAGCTCACTGAACTCTCTATCGCATTTGTGCAGGTTCACCCGGGGAGCTCTGACAATCAGTTCGACAACCTCGCCTTCGTGGCGCTCTTGGACGAAGAGGAGAAGGACGAGCTCGTTCGGTACCTGGAAGCCGACCCTGTCCACACCCAAGACGCGGTCCAGTGGTGGCTCGACCGTCAAGAGAGCTATCCTCGTCTCTCCCGCATGGCCATCGACTATCTCATGGTCCCTGGTAAGTACCTCCACGCACTGAGCACCCTAGATAAGGCACTGACCGTTTGCGTGATCAGCCACGTCTGTCGACGTTGAGCGCGTCTTCAGCCGAGGACGTCTGCTCCTTCCGTACGTCCGTAACCGTCTGTCCGCACAGAGCACGCGTGCATCCATGTGCCTCGGCACATGGAGTGTGCATGGGCTTGTCCTCGCCAGCGATTTTGCCGCTGCCGCCCAGCTCCCCGACCTCGTTGACACAGACATCACTGAGCTATAAGCGGGTCTAGTTAGCACGTGTACAACTAGTATCTTCCATAAGACATATGTGCCTCGTTTGCATCAGACCTCGCTGCTCCACGGCAGCCGCTTTTGACTGTTTTCAGTTAGACCCCGCTTGCACTCGACACATCGCCCACATGCACCACACCATGGTAAATAATGCGCCCCCTGTATCTAATCGTGTACCGGCCTCGTGGTCGCCCTGGCTCACATCTTAAGTACCTACAGGGGTTTGAAGGAACAACGAGCTCCCGACATTGCCTCGCGCCCCCTCCCCCACAATGTCCTCACCACGCAAGCTCTCCGTGCATCCTGCGTCGCTCATGCTCCCTGAAGACATCTTCGCGCCTGCACCCACCATGGCCCACTCCGACAACGCTAACGGTGCGTCCGCAGTCACACCCACTGAAGAGGACGCTCCTGCAGCCGAGCTCTCAGGCTTTAGCGATGGCAATGCGGCGTTGCTCCTCAATTCGGACGATACGGCCACGTCTGCGCTCCCCACGCTGTCATGCACCAAACTGGTTTGGCACATGGGCCTACCGGAACAGTCCAGGGTATGCCAGCAATAGGAGCACCCTCACCAGACAGACCTAGGACCAGAGACCAACCTAGCAGACACCAGAATGCTTAGGACTAGCCCAGAGGTCAGGAGACAGTTCCGGAAGGTACCAGAAACTTCAGGAACAGGAGGAACCCAGCCATCAACACAGGATCGTCTGCAGTCATGGAGAACATGCTAGACTACTTTAGCTGACAAAGGCGCAGAAATTGCCAGAAGGTTCTAGAAGGTTCCAGACAATGTGCACATGACAGCCTAGCATCAGAGAGCCAGGGAATACCAGGATATTCCAAGGAGACAGGAGGAGAACATGCCGGAAACCCACGGAATGTTGCGGAACATTGCGGAATATTGTGGAAACCACTGGAATACTCAGTGTTCCCCTTCAAGAATTCCCTGGAAACCATTCAGAACTCCTGGGAAACATCAAGAATATGTGGGGAAGGTTCTTAGAATGTTCTGGAAATCCCTGACAGGCTCAGGAAAAGGACGGATAAAGGAGAAGGAAAGGACTAGGAATGAAGGGAAAGTAGGAGAATAAGGGAGAATATTCTGGACATGGATTAGTCGTACTACAGACCTGCTTTGTAATGTACCATTTAGGATTCCCGCGCCCCTTGGCTCCAGGTATAAATACTGGGCTGAGGAAGGGGATCCGAAGCAA